GTAAAAAATGTCCATCTGTGCACCAACAGTAGGGAATGCCTGAAATTGGACCCTGTCTACTACTGGCCTTATTTAGACAAAAAGTCACATGGTGACTTTTGCAGATGTGTTTATTTTGCTGTGTATGTTAGTTATGAAACTAGTTCGAGTAGCCTTTGTGATAAGGGCTCAAGAGGGGGGCACACAAGGAGCAGGTGACCCTGGGTGACAAAGCACCACAGAGCCTTTCAGCACCTGGTCTCACACTTGGAACACAGGAATGAAGGAACAGAGATTTTGGAGAGCCATGTAGAATCTTGGTGGGATGAAACATGATCAGAATGACAGACAGGTTTATCTAACCTAGTTCTGGGCCAACAGCTCAATCAGACAGCTGTGAAGATGCTGTCATCTGGGAAAGACATATCTGCTTGAGATAACGCTATCACATCAGACTCAGGTAACCTGTGTGTGCTGATCATTTTTTCTATATTGACTTCTGACTTTCAATGGAACAATTATTCTGTGCCTTATCCTGTAGTAGGTTTTACATATGGAAATAATATGTCTAAGTTTCATGTGAAAACGAGATTAACGATATTGTGAAATTAATTTTTAGATTAATTGTTTGATGAGGATATGCAGCGTAATTGAATTCATGACTTGTCAAGAAAATCCTTCACAATATTGTCAATGATAAAAATACAACTGCAATTTTAATCTATTGCTGTTGAATTAAATACTTCCTTTTTTCTGTAAACAAAATTCAAAAGATTTAAAAGATTTTTCAGTATGACTATGTTCTTCTGCATCCTGTTGTATTTAGTCATAAGTATAGTCTTAAAGACCTAAAAAAGTCAGTACTATAGAATTATTCTGTACCTTAGCAGGATAGGATTTTATATCAGAGAACTGAATGTCTCTGTGCTTTCATACAATTTGGCAATAAATATCAGTCCTGAATGTGCTTAACACTTTTTACACATGCCATTTTTTTGGAGTATTTAAATTATTTTTATAGATTTTTGACAAGCCACTTTGTTTTTTTTAAATTAATTGTTTTAGCTTCTCTAAATTACATTTTTTTTCTGTAGAGAGGTCAAATTCCTATTTCATCGTATTCACAGATTTTTGTATTAGTCAAGGTGATTTTATAATACAATTTTATAAGTCGTCACTCAATGTATATGAAAGATGGTTTGCTCTTCTCATGTAAAATATGAATCTAAATTTTTTATTAAATTTTTCAACCACGCTGCATGTATCTTAAAATAGTACCACTTAGCAGTAGTGGCTTGCAAGGCTTATCTTGCAAAGGAAAAAGGGATAGTAAGAAAAAATGGACAGTCATGAAAAATATTTCCTCTTGTTTCTAACAAAATAGTTTTAGAAACTGTGTATAAAATATAATATACATTTATTGTCTTCATATGTATCAATATAATTTACTTAGTCTTAACATTTCCTATGAAACACAGACTAGCACTATATGATCACGTTTTGCTATATTCACACACAGCCCAATGTTTTTTGGAAGAAGGACTAGCTCCCTCACACTCATCCCTGGGATTTACACATGGCACAGAGAGGCTGAGCCCCATATGCCTCCTGTCTTTTCCTGCCAACTTGCTTTTTTCACGTCAGTAGCATCTTGTGTCTGATAGCATCAAAAACTTGAAGTGAGACTCATGTTTATGCATGTCCATTTACCCTTTACCCAAAGGCAAAATACTTTGTACTCCAGAAGTGATAATAATTTTCATGAGTACAGGGACTCTGTTTTGAAAATGCTTGTGGATCTTTGCAAAGGTATTTAAGGTGAAATATGGGCTGCTAAGCATAGTGACAAGAAAGCAGAATATTATGGGGCTACAGTCCTGGGTGCATTGCAGCACACTGCATGAGAGCAGAAGACAGCAGCTCATGTGGCTCATGTCCTCCCAGGAAAAGCTGTTCCCTCCCACCTTTGTCCCAGCAAAAGCTACATTAAAACATCTGGTATGATGGACTGGACTGGAAAAAGTGTGTAGGGACGTTTCTGATGCAGGCATTCAAAGGTAATGTGATTTTAGGAACTTAAATCTACTTATTTTTGACATCCTCTAAAGGATCATAAGCATCCCCTGAAATGTCTTTTCTGACAATGACTCAAAATAAACAGTGTGCAATAATGTTGTTTACACAGCAGATCAAAAGGATGCATTTTTGCTGCAGCAAATGAGAACATGGCATTAGGCAAAGACTTTTCACAGTGACGCTTTCTGAGCTTTCACAGTCATTGTCATGAGTGGATGGTTTGGCCAGGTGGAAAGGAAGCTATTTACACCATTTTCTTGGGCCTGTAGAAGTAATTTTGCAAGAGGTTGGGTTATAATTTTATAAAGCCCATGTCAGTAATATTCCCCCCATGGAATAATTCTGCATATGATCTTAATGCTTTCACAGTATTAAATCAAGAATGGCTTTTTTTCTTTGACAGGTGATAGATCTTCTCTGAGATGAGCTATAAGACAATTTTCAAACGTCTGAAGAATAAAGGCTTGTCTTGGTATCACTCTTTCGTATATGACAAAATGATTGATTAAATTAAAATATTAGCTCACCATTTAAAATACCAAGGCAGTATTTCATTATCAAGTGCTGTCCTTTCTATACAAACCAAGTATAGAAAAACAGCCAGTAGGATTTTTGGAAAAGTATTGCACAACTACATGGTGCTGACACAATAAGGCATCTAATGGGTCCTATTCTTGGCTAAGTAAATCTCAATTCTGAATATACAAAGCAGAAGGAAGATAAGTTGTAAACAAACCACAGTATAAAAACTGGTAGTGATTCAAATTCAGTTTTATATGATGCAACTTTCAGAAGACAACAATAAGAATTTGCCTTGGTAACTTGTAGATACCACTATGGCTTTTTCCCAGTGACCAAACAATGTTAAGTAATGTGCTCTGTTATAATTTGTAAGAAAGTGAAAAAATAGCCTCGTTTGCCTTACTCTTACCTTTTGCTGTGATAAAGGAGGGAATTATTTCTAGAGGTACAAGTTACATGCAGAATTTCTGTGCCAGATGATGCCATTAACATCTACCCTTTGACCAAAATCTCTGCAACTCTTTTGTCAGCATAGTAGGAAATCTTCAGAAAGGAGGGAAGTGGTGATGGAGATGCCAAGAGGAAGCCACTTCAGCAATGTAAGTACAGAGAAATAGAAAGTACCCTTGATTACGGTCCAGGAGGGCTGTAGTGGAATGATTAGGGGTGAAATCAGAGAAAACTGGGAAGTTATATTCACATTCTAAGAGACATTATAACAGTGAGGAAATGATGGAGTGAAATGCAGTTGCTACTCCCAGGATGGAATGCAACTGGCATGCAGGAAATCCATTCCATGATAATTCACCACACACTGAGCCTGCAACCTTAAGCACATGCTAAGAGGGATGAAATGGAGGGTGGAGCAAAGTGGAGACACCTTGGCCAGGCCCTGTTGGAATCCTTGCAGGGATGGGAATCCAATGGTGCTGTGCAGCCAATAAACTGCACAGCAGCTGCCACCCGAGGCAGAGGGGAGATGATGTCTTGCTGCTGAACAGCAGCTGGGGTGAAATCGCTCTCCTTGGGTGAACTTGGTCCATTATAATCTGACTGCAATACCAACACACAGCTCCATGCCAAAGTTACCACCTCCCAGTATGACCACCCCACTGGGCATGCACCCCGTATTTTATTGACTATATCTTTCAGAGCAAAGTAGTAGAATTTTGATCAAATTAGTAGCAATGTAACCAGAGCAATTCAAACTCCATCTAAATGTTAAAGAAATAATATAAAAGTCAGGAGAAGCTAGGGAAGACTTCTTTGTAACTACAGGTAGTGAGAAGTTAGGGAAGACTTTATTGTAACATTTGGGATCAGTTGATGGGTGGAACCTGGCTTCTCCCCCATAGAAATGCCTATTTTAAGAACTATATTCCATTTGCTCTAAATTTTTCTCTCGAGCGGGATTTCATTGATGATTAGACTTTGTATGTTGCGTTAAATTTGTCTTTGCAGTCCATCACTGTCATCATCAATCTTTATACATTAACCTATCACAATTTTCTAGTATCAGTGTGTTTATTAATAAGGTGGGTAATTTTGTGAAGTGTTTAGTGTGAGGCCTTCGAGGGCACCAGCTCTTGCTGGCAGTGGAGAGCATACCTGACTAAGTGTGGGGAGATGCAGGAGGGATGTCTCTTTCTAAATGGCAATAAAGGTTTCACTCCAACATGCTGTTGGTGCGTGTCCCTGAACGAGTTGGTCAAGCTGCTCTTGGGTGCAGCAGGCTGTTCACTGGGGCCTCTACACTGGGGCACTGACAGACTGGGTGGGCACAAGGTTTTCAGCCTTCCTGGGGCATTGACAGACCAACCAAAGTTGTTCGAGGAAACCCCTCTTTCACATGACAAGGACTCTGTCATCCTTTCTCAATGTACACAATACAATAAATCCACTATTTCTTTGTTACCTTATGCTCTAAACACCTAATATTGGGTGCATTCACTTAACCCCATTCACTCGTTTCCTTGCTGTTAATGTGTCATCCTCCACTGGCAGGAATCTACCAGTTCAGGTTTGAGCCAATTCCACAGCTTCTATTGAACTGGACTAAGCAGTGGTGATTGTCCAGCATCCAGTACAAGAATGTGATTTGTGAGCACCATCAATATTGACACAGCACAAGACAATGCACCCTTTAGGGGCAACTATTCTTGGCAACTGCTCAAAGCAAAACTCAAGCATCTCCAGGGTTTGTAAAAACCTCCTGAATCCAGTTTGCATTCATGTCACTTAGATGTTGGTTGCTCTTTCTGCAGATGTCCTCAGGGCACTGGGCTCCTGCAGGGAAAGCTCTAATCCCTCTGCCTGACATCATTAGGAACAAGATAGATCTGGTAGCCAGAGGCTGCACAGAGACCAGGTGTGGTCATGAAGCAGATAAATATGCTTTGAAGGACACTGTAGACACTCTGTACCCAACATTTCCCTTCCCAAATCATTAGTTAGAGTGGTCTACATATAGTCCCAAGGGCCAGCTGGAATGGTGCAGCTTCCAGCCTGTCTTGTGATTCTGCCATCAATGTCATGTGGCTCTTAGCAAGGACTGTGTGAGTACGATCTTACAGAGAGTGAATTCCAGATTTAGCAACAAAGCCCCTGTGTGCTAACAACTATACAGAGCAAATTAATAAAGAAAACATCTTCCAGCCAACATAGAGGTCAATGAGGAGATGAAGGAAGGTTAACAAGAACAGAATTCCTGTCACTCTTTCTGGTTTTTTTTGTTTATTTATTTATTTATTTTTTTAACAGACAATAATAGATTAATTCTGTGTGTTTATGAGCTGAGGGGATTAAGCTGGTATGGCTAAAGACATGAAGCACTGTGCTACTGTTTAAACTCATCAGACTGCATATCTAGAGAGGGGGAAAAAAAGCTCACAACCCTAAATTACTTGCTTAAATGAACCTTTTAAAAAGATAGTGATGTACAAGAAGCCCTGCAGGATTAAGGAAGCTTATCAGCCTCAACGCAGGCTTGCTTGTTTCTGCTCTGTGTCTCAAACATCATTCTAAGTGTTGAAAATTAATTTTCTCCTGTTGCACATTCTTTTAACCATATATTTTCAAAGCTGACAGGTTGAAAATGTGTTCTAACCTTGAAAATACAAATTTACTTCAGAAACAACTTTGATAAGCTGTAATTAATGACCCTGAAATAACTGCATCAGGTGTTAAAACAACCATTAAATGATACATCCTTGGCTGTGAGAAGACAAGAATTCAGCAAATTCAGGGGATGACTTCATTGCAAGTGACCAAAAAAGCCTCAACTCTATCCTCATGCATTTTTTATTTGCTTTTTTAAAATTAGTACTGCTACTAAATGGACAAATCAGAAACTGGAAGACTTGCCAGGTTAATTCTTTTTTGATACACTAAAGTGCAGAGAAGCCAGGCATGAATATTCATTATCTTGAAACCACACATTTTGGGCAGAGAACATCTGGCCATCTTGCAAATCCCCCAAGAGTTCAAGGGCCTGTTTTAGAGCAGCTGAGAGTCAAGATTATTGATAATCATTCCAGCAGCTTTGAAGCTAGATTGTAGTTCAGACAATGAACTTACACAGGTAGAAGAAGAAAAGTACAATATCTTATGTGGCCCTCAGCAAACATGGTATGCTGCTGTAGTAGGTGCAAGTTGCTTGGCCACTCATCTTTAAGCAAAATATGTAAAAAAGGGAGGGTGAGGAACAGACAGAGTCAACCTTCAGTGTTCCTGGATGGCAGAGCTAGCCTGAGGAATGCAGCATAACAAATGGCAATAGAAGTCATGAGCCTGATGCAATAAGGAAGCAGTGTGGAATGGAATTTTAGAAGTGTGAAACTACTTCTGAGACAGTATAGCTTTTACACCATGTTTTGACAGGGGCTATGCCAAAGGACATACCAAACCTTTAATGCTACGTAACAGCTTTCCCAGAGGTAAGCAGAGGTCAGTATCATGCAGAATGCTGATATAAAATATGAGGAAATAAAAATATGAGAAGATAAAAAGAATGCTGATAAACAATTTGTTGAGATCCAGGAATAATAGCTAACATCCTCATTGATTTATTTTTTCCATTGATCAAAAGGCTTGTTTTCCTTCTGCTGTATCTCATATCTCTTTAATTTGGAAAGACACTTTTTCTATTTCCTTCCTTTCTTTCCTGAGATGAATCAAATATTTATAGTTTTGATACATTTTCACTTAAACTTAATTGAGCAGCATTAATATTTGTACATTCTACCAACGCCACTCTTGGAGCTCTCAGTTTTTACACTTCTTTCTAACTAGCAGAGTCCTCTGCTCAGGTTGTGTCATTCCCTGTATCTGCAGATTGGTGGGGCATGCAAGGGCAGTACTGCTGAGCAGGAGTGCCCAGCCCACAAGCCTCAGTATGGCAATCTTTGGAAACACAGAGCTCAACCATTAGAATAAAGGTAAATTTCACTTTCATTCAACAAGTGGGAACAAAGTGTTCCAATGAACAAAAAGATTTGCAACTATGCAAATCAAAAATAAACAATCAAAGTGTCAAAGAATAGTTCTGTAAAAAAGGTTATGAAACAAATTTGGGAATGCACTTCTATTTATGATATTGTGAATATATGAAAAGGTTCTACACCTTCTGAGAAACCTTTGAAGGAAGCAACTATTCTGTAACATTCTCGCCATAGAAAACTTTCACCAGAAATTTCCCTTGAAAAATGTCCCCATTGACAATAGTGACATCTATGGAGGTTAAAGGAGTTTCTCTTGTATCATTGTCCCTAATCCATCTTCTCTAAATATATTACATTAATCTTAGCTATAATATTGGAAGGAAGAGAAATGTGGAAGTGTTGTTGAAAAGATTACTGTTAATATTTTAGTTTTAGTAAAAAAATTAGGTCCTTTTTACTAAAGAGGGAAATACATATTCCCTACGGAAAATAATAATAATAATATATTATAAGTTGCTTGAGTCAATGTCAAAAATAGGGTTTGTAACTATACTATATATATTATTATTATTATTATTTTTATTATTATTGAGAAGTTTAATTCAGGCTACTGGGCACCTTAAACACACTAAGATTTAGCTCCATTAGTCCTTGTTGGATCCTCCCATGTGCTTTGGGTGCTCAATGGACAATTTTTCTAATACTGGTGGCCCCAGGATGGAACCAAAGTGTCAGGGTCTAGACAGAGGAGAGAAATGACACTGCCCAAGAGGTGGCTGTGCTCAAGCAGAGTCTATCTGCAAGGCTGATTGTAAAGCATCTTCTGGTTGCTACCAATAAGTTTTAGACAACAAAAGATAATACTGTAATTTTTTCGTTTGTTTCATTAGTTTGTTAGCTTTCATTATTTTTTATACTTCTATTAAGACTGTTTCCTTCTTATTGTCTGGCAAAATGCAACAGAAGTTCTTGCAGTTTTTTCAAGCATCCTCTCCCATAAGTGTAATTCAACTTAATCTAGAGACTATTTAGAAAGCATTTCCCACTCTAATGCCAAAGTAGAGGCTCTTTTAACTTTCTCTAATTAGATTCTCTTCCAAACACCAAAATCAGTTTTCCACCAGTCCCTTCTAATTATTAATACTCTGATATACAAACTCATGTTTTTTCCAGAAGAAATACTTGGTAGGAAATTTCAGCATCTTTGCACTCAGTGGGTTTGTCAGCACCCTGCAAATTTTGAGTGCTGCTGCTCCTGGAACTGGTGACCATTCCTGTCAACCTCTTGTGCTGCTTTACATTATGCACACATACACAGTGTGGCAGGCTGCAAAGGCAGTAGCATTTGGGGGATTGGTGAAAAATCAGGGGCTGAACTCCCTTGACCTCTAACATGGCTGAATATCCCAGACACAGAATAGTCTTGGCCATACATCTTATGAGGAAATAGCAAAAATGGCTGGGAAATCTCTCATCCTACTGCAAAAGCTCAGACTTTCTGATGAAAGAAAGGCCTTCAAAAATTGAAAAACTAAAAAGCTAACATCGTTCTTCAATTGATCTTACAAGTGTAAAATGTGTTCTATGTTTATTCTTGACTCCATGCTTATGAATTGCTTTTAATACTTCAACAAGACTAGTATCATCCATTTCATGTTGTTTATGCTGAGTGATAAAAATGCTCAAACAAAATTCTTCTAGAAGTGTTACTTGTTTTGAAACGTTTCTTGGTGTAAGGTAGAATGCTGACATTTCCAAAAACTTCCAGATAAATCATAGAGGGAAATTAAGATGTAAGAAAACTGTCCCATTTGTGGTCATTTGTGCAGCTTTGTTACCTTATACAAATCTTGCTAGCTTATATAAATTGTTTTTATATAAACTGATCTTATATAACTTTTTTTACCTATCATGATTTACATACTCAGGGAATAAATTGGTACTCATTCCTCCACAGCTTTTAGTACTCTCCCCACAATTCTTGGGGTTTTCTTTTCTAGCCAAGGAACTGATCTCACTATACTATTATTTTCTGGTAAATCAGTGGGTTTACATGCAAATATATAAGCTATATTATCTTCAGTAATAATTTTTCAAGTCGTAGCTGTCCTGTGAAATGAGCACAGAAGCAAGTTGGCCACAGCATTTTTTCCTACCAGCTTTCTCACAGACAGAGAAATGCATTAAGATGACTTAAAAACTTCAATACACATCATAACCATTTTAACTGCTATTAAATTCGATTTGTTTCTGAAACTGTGTTTATTATTTTCTTCTATTTAGATTCCTTTGTTGAGTGCCACTGCAGCTAATCTGCTAGTGCATGTTCATCTGCAAACTGAAAAATTGTGGAAAACAGAGGCTGGAAATATTTGGAAAACCTTTATGCACTTTGAAGCAGGATACCTAACTCATGGATAGAAATAAGTCCACCTTACTCAAGTTCAATGTGTATTCTTCTCAGTAATTTGAAAAATACAGTAGTTGCAACTATAATTTATATAAGAAGATATCATCTTTTAAAAATATTCTATGCACTTTCCCTGTAAAAAAAAATTGCTATTTGTTACTGCAGACAAATTCTTGTATGGAATTTTACCCTGTTTAAAATTAAAATTATCTAAATAACAAATATAAGTGATGGATCACTAAACTACAATCTGGAAAAAATTTTGAATGTTTTTAGATAATTTTTACTTTAAAAAGACCATGTAAATAGAAGTCTAGTTTGGACAGGTATGTCTACTGTACATGGATACTGGCTCTCAGAGGGCATAAAGACAATTTCTTTCCACTGATCTCTTTGTGGGCTAAATTCAAACCAAGCAGTAAAAATGTTCATTTCTTCATGTGAACCAATGTTCAAACCACTGAACTGAAGAAAAGCTAAGTGAGCAATGCAGAAAAGATGGAATTTGTCCTAGAGATGAGGGTTAAGACCAAGGTCTTAATATATACACAGTATGTCTTCGAAGTATATAGCAAATTTATACTC